ATTCCCCAGCCAGCATGCTGGCTGGGGAATTCTGGGAGTTGAAATCCACATATCTTAAAGTCACCAAGGTTGAGAGACACTGTTGTAATGTATACAGCATGAAGTTGTCTTCTAATATTTGCCTGATCAGAAATATTATAACCTGGTTCTTATATCATGCTAAACCAAGGTTTATCAAAGAAGTTACAATTACATGGGCCTGCATAACACGCTACATCTTAGATCAGGGTTTAAAAATTCACAGCAAGCCTAAGCCATGATTTGTTTAATATGCCATAAGACCTCTATACATCATGCTGAATCGAAATAGAGTCAACTCCCTCCAATCCTGCCTTTTGTGATTGTCATTTAATGGACCTCAGATGCAGGTCCCCCACACTCCAGAACTCCCTTCTGACAGAGATTCAGTCAGCTGTGTCCCTTTCCTTAACAGGAAAGCTGTTAAGTCCCACTTGTTCCATCTAGCATAGGGATGCTGTGATTGGTAGCAGGGGTTGTGAGGATACATCTCCTGCTGGCTATATTTTTATCCTGATTGGTCCTCTTATGTATTTTTGTGCCATCATCTTCTTTTGCACCAGTGTTTTTTATTTTATGAGATAGTTAGCCACCTAGAGCCTTCTATGAAAAATAAATAAATAAAACCAAGAAGCTGCATTATGGCTTAACTTTCAGTGGAAACCCAATCACAGCCTTAAGAATTACCTCCACCAACCATACACCTTGTCTTAATATATACCCACTCATTTTGTAAATAAATAAAATTCTGCTGAAGCAGTGCTCCATGTCCCCCATTGTCAAGATGGGTATAAGGAATACAACTATCTCTGTGACACCCAAAGGCTCACAGATGCCACCAAAAGGTGTGCAGGAATTATTTTACAATAATTTATTCAGAAAGGAGAGTTCAAGACACTGTATAATGAGTAAAGGATGGGGGAAGAAGTAAAAAGAGCTTGCACAAAGCAATAAGGGTCCTTTATCATTAACCTTCCCAACAGTCAGCAAAAGCTTCAATTTAATCCCACATGACTGTGAAAAGAGAAGCACTTCAAAGAGCAAAAGGGCTTTATCAGGCTCACAAGGCAAGAGAGTAATCATTAATCATTGTCCCTGGAAAAATAAGGAAGGGATGAACAAACCAGATTATTTCTGGAACAGAAGAACTGAGTAATAAGACTAGGGCTGCATCCAATCCACAATTACCTGGAAGTAAATCTCATTAAATATAGTGATACTTCCAAATAAATACACCAAAGGGATTGTCCTGTCAGGATCACACCTAAGCACAAATTTTCATGGAATCCAACAAGACTCATGTCCGATTAAATATTCCGTAGACAAGAGATCAGCTACTTCTCAATGGCTTCCATAGATATAGCCATGTTAGAAGTCTGCTACAGTTGCTATTACTGTTTACAACCCAGATGAGGGAAAGAATAAATCTGTTCTTCTTTAGTCACCCCACTTTGTCTCTGTGATAGACTAAACCAAGGTGGCCTCTAGACATTTTGGCCAAAAATTCCCATCAGCATGGTCATTGGGAACTACTCATTCTGGTCTCAGGAAAGGTAAACCCAAGTTCTTATTAATCCAAAATGTCTCACAAGGTCAACTATAGCATCATTTTATTATGCTTCATATAACATGGCATATTTGGTTGTTGGCTTAATATAATGTGTGAATCCAGCCATACTTTTAATGGTACCTAGTATTAAAACATTATTTTACATAAGTAAAATTTATCATTTATTTGTGTTGGGGATATGAAGTTGTCCAAAACCTAACTGGAAGAACAGCTATCTGGGTCTGTTTATAGTAAACATGACAGCATGTTAGCTGTGTTGTGTCAACACAGTGATATTTACACTGCTGGTGAAGATGTAACAAAGTTTGTAGGCATATAGTAAAGCGTTTCTTACAATTTCACCATTCAATTATCTTGATAATACTTGAACTTTAAATTAAAACAGTGTTAAATTGTATATCTTTTTAAACAATTGATCCAGGTTTTTTTCAATAGTTTTTAATAACCTTAAATATTTTAACATTCTATACATTCTACTGCTATTCAGAGGATATGTGTGGTGGAACAGATATCTACAAAGTGTGTGTGTTTCATCACAACAGGAGAGCAAACAACCAGATTTTTTCCTTCCTTTTGTACCATATCTGGGTGTTGAATTATGTCCCCAGCAGCTATTGCACAACCACAAAATATTTCTGCTAAAATCTTGCCAAGGTGAAAATCCCAGTCTTTCAGAAGTCCCTCAAAAGGTAACATCTGGAATGGCATTTGGAAGCAATCTTTTTTAAATTTATTATCTTTGTAACAGTAAAGTTACTGCTACTTTTCAGCTCATCATAATATTTACAACATAAACACAGTCTTATATGTGTTATCACGGATAACATATTTCCTTGCAACTGCAGGAAAAAATGTACAAATTTAAGAATTGCAGCCATGAACATCCTATGTTTTCTCCAACCCCCAAAATAAGAGTTCCAAGTTAGTTAAAATGTGACTTTCCAGTCCAGTTCTGTATAACTATGAATCTCATGATTAACGTCTGAACGTTTTATTCACTTCTCCCCCTTTTTTGGGCAAAGGGTTTACTTCCTGTCACTCTCCAGACAATCTCATTTCCTTACTGTGTGTTTGCCCATATATAAATCCAGATAGCTGGTTCCCAGCCTGTAATAAAGACCCTCTGCTGCTAAGAAGGCAACAACCAGCACAGAAGACAAGCCCCAATCCATGTGGCTAATGTTGGCCAACACTTCCAGCTCTGACCAACACCGCTGGCAAGTACATTGATGTTCTTTCAGCAAAGGGAATTACAGGCACATCAGATGAGTCTCAAGTATCCTATTTCAGGCTTAGTTTTCTAGCTATATCTTAGTCTGCAGTATTATTTGAGAAAGGAAGAGGATTACCTCCTGCTTGTCTGAATTTCCTCCATACCCATCAGCTGCGTCTGTTCTTGCTCTTGCCAGCTCTCTCTCTCTCTCTCTCTCCCCCACCCCCGAAGAGTAAGAATCATATCTAAAAGCTGTATCTCTTAACTAAAGATATCTGGATCTTGATCCTTGTGGTGTACATGGATTGGCCAGAGACAACATTTTTTGGCTGATATGCACATTTTAAATGTTGAGGGCATGGCATTTTCTGCCACAGGAGGGTCTCAAAACAAATGCAACAGTGAATAAGGGCAGCTACAAATAATGCATTTACTAGAAGGCAAAATCTTGAGGTTATTCACTGCTGCCCGTTCTAAGTCCATTAAGTTGTTCTCTACTACCTTAGCTTAACTCTTCCTTCCTTCCCAGGGGGGCACACTTGCAACTGAAGCACAGAGCTACAGCCCTGTACTCTAAAAATATAAAAATGGCTGGCATGCATTTTTGGAAATAAACAATAACTCTGGGGGCTAAAATGTGTGGCTTTGCAGCACAGCAGCTATATGTTTGTGATCTGCTTGAAGACTGGAAATATTTTTTTTAGAAAAAGTAAAAACAGGAGGGACAGGCAGCCTGATGGAGAACCCAGGATATATTCTTGAGCACAGGGACCGCAATACCTATTACTGGTATAGATTCTGGCAGGGCCATGGAGGTGCTGAAAAGACAGGATGGGAGGGCAAGTGGGCCTCTCTGCAGCTAAGGAATTATCTCTAATGAAACCTTAGTAAAATTTCACAGCTTGCTCAGCAACATCTTCTGTGTATCAGCGAAGAGAAGGGAGAAAATAGATACCAGTAAGAAAAAGGGAACTGGGAAACCTTGCCTTCCTTCAACACAATTAGATTTCTTTACCCCAGCCTGGAGATTAACTCTATAAAGGTATCTTCATGAACCAAACTAGATGTGGTTCTAAGAAACAGGCCATTCATTTCTCTGCTGTTTGACTGAATTTATCTGCTCATCCCACCTTTATATGCGTATGGGCCACTCTTCACTGCTGCAATACAGGATATCTCCATTCTGTGAATTCCACAATTGCAAAAGCTTGTTTGCTATCACATCACCTTTGATTTACAGCAACAAAATCATCATCTGGAAAATCCCTATCCTGCTTTGAATAGCAACCAAGCTTAATTTCCCAGCGAATAACTGAGCCTGATTCATTTTACAGTTCTGATTCCGATTTAATCGCCTACATTAATTGCATACACCACCTTATGCAAGGAAGATCACCAGAGCTGAGTGGCAAGTTGCCAGAGGTGACAAAATAACCAGCCACTCAACAATCTGGAGAAGGCAGCCTTCTAGGTTTCCTCTCCTTTCTGGTCTAAAGGCAACCAGACAGTTCCAGGAGCAATACCAGGTTGAATACAACCATCAATCTCATGCAGTAATGCTAGAACTCTTCCTGAGTTAACCCTCGCTTCCATCTTTCCTCCATTTCATCTGCCAACAATATATCTACACCCCGAAGAGGAGATCTAACGTCGAGTCTCATCCCTAGAGCATTTCACCCTGGGATGTGAGAGCAAAACATCTGAGAGTGCAACAGCCATCTTGCTTCCACTGACTGCTTCACGCAAGTCTGCAGTGTGTCACATGACCTCAAGGCTTAGCCAGAATCTATTAGTCAGAAGGTTTCACAATCACTTACTCTCATTTCTCATTTTAATAGCAAACCAGCATGGTTCTACTTGAGCCTTTAAAAAAAAAGAGAGACAGAGGGAAAAAATGGGAGGGGAGAATATCATCTTCAAGGGGCAGCAATAATGTAAGAGGGGCAAGGAACATCTGCCAGTGGGAGAACGAGAATATTCCAGTGATTTCTTTCATGCACAAATCAGCAGGGAAGATAAGCTGACCAAGCAAAGAGAAAGTCTATATAAAAATGGGGGGAGGGAGAGAGGAAGGCCATAAGAAACATTGACAAAATGGTGTGAGTTATTGCCTAAGATTAAAACCAAGGAAATTACAGAGTAAGAGCATTTACCGCAAACATGTGTACTTTTAAGGGGATGGGCATGGGGTGCCACAGAGAAGCTTATCCAATCCTGCAGGAGGTGGCATTGCAACATAGCCCCCTTTGTGCCTCGTCACTCCCAAAATTATCTCTTCACCCTGGGGCTTATTTTACCGTGTAGGCAGCATCTGCCCTACCCTGGACACTCAGCTCTAGCCGAGGGAGGCTGACTTGAAAAGAAGCCATCCTGGGTTTCACCGGCCTCACTTTGAAGGAAGGGCAGCCCACAGAAACGGGCACTGCAGCGCTCTTCGTCGCCAAGCCGATTTCTGTCCAGCATCCTAGCCCAGTTGTGCCCCTTGGCTCTGACGCCAGCCTCGGAAGCACTCCCGAGAGAGGCGCCCCACGTCCTCCAGAGAAAACAGCACCTGAAAGGTCACACAGGGGCTCTTCGGACAGGATGGGGGGCCAGAAGCAGGGAAAAGGTGGCCAAAACCGGGCCTTGGCTGGCGAGTGGGCGGGCAAGGTCTGTCTTCGCTGCAGGGCTTTTGGGCTTGGAAACCCCTGGGGCAGGGCTGGCGCTCCCCTGGGGAGCAGAGGCGGAGGAGAGGAGCCCCCTTTCTGCTGCCAAGGCAAGGGGGGCTGCAAAAGGAGGGGCTGCGCCCCGGCCCTCCCCAAGAACTCCTGCGTTGCCCTCCCCCCCACCCCAGCATCCTCACAACGCACTGGGCCGAAACACCCATCATCCCCAGCCAACATGGGACTTGCAATCCAACAGGCCTAGAGGGCGCCGAGGCCGGCTGTGCTGTGCCCGGAGGATCCTTCCCTTCTGCCCTCGGGGAGAGAAGAACCCGAGCTTGCCCGAGAGCCACCGGGCGGAGGTGACCGGACCCCCCGCCTCCTTCCAGCTCCGCGAAGGGCTGAAGGGAGAGGCTCTCCCGGCACCACGGCGCCGCGGGGCCGCGGTACTCACTGAGGCGGGGCTGAGAGATGTAATCGCGGGTGCCGGCGGCCGCCTGTTCCCGTGTCGCCCCTCCGCCGCTCAGCTCCGAGACGGCGCCGTTCACCATCCCCCGAATCGCCCGCATCGCCGCCATCTTGCCCCGTCTGACTGCCGCGTGACTGCGCAGGCGCTGATATAAGCGCTCCGCGTCAGCCGCCCCCTCCCCCGTCTCTCTCTCTACCGCGAACGGGACAGACCCGGAAATCGCCGGGAGGGAGGAGGGAGAGGGGCGGGGTCGAGGAGAGGAGAGGAGCTGGCCAGCGTGCTGAGGGGCGGGGCCGGGAGAGCGCGAGGAGGCGCGCCGGCAAAGGCAGGGCACGGCGCCGAGCGGGCAGAGTGCCCCTGAGCGTGCGCAGAGCGCAGAACAGCAGCTCCCACATCTGAAGCTGGCAGTAGAAACCATAGAAGCGAGCAGCGGCTCCTGACTGGGCCAGGGGGTTTCTTGCACATCCCAGGTGCTGCAAAGAGGGGCACGCCTTAATTGGGGATCAAGTGGCATCAGGGAGCTGGAGAGTTGGTCTTCCACCAACCTCTGGTGCTGCGAAGTGGCTGACCTTACATTCTGTTATATAAACCGATGTCATACAGGGAAAAAGGGCCTCTGAGTAACCACAGAGGGGCTTCTCTAACACACCCACCCACGTGGCCCAGGGAAGGCAAAGCTCCTAATCTGGGTTTTGCTATCTAAAAATCGTGTCACAGAGCAGGGAGATGTGTATGAACAAGCACAAAGTGCTGCGAATCATGTACTCCTCTTTAAAGTAAAGGCAAAACATGACTCGTAAGATAGATTGAGATAGGCTTCCCCAACCTGCATTCCTCAGTGGTATCATCATGATCATCATGATCATCATTATAATCATCATCAGTTTATTCCCTACCTTTCAGGTTAGCAGCAGTCCTTTCAAGGTGGTTTACAAGCAATATAAACAGTTGCAAATGAAATACAAATAACAGGACAGAAAAGGAAATATTTTAGGATCTTTGCCATAGGAGAGTCGAGGGCAATGGCTCTGCAGGTTGGGGCAGGAACTGGGTGCGAGAGGGCCAGATGAGGAGGCTCCTGCAGCGACTGCCTGTCTCAGGATCCTTCCCACAGAGTGGTTAGTGGCAATGGGTTCCAGATACTGTACCAAAGACCGTCCTGTCTGGGGATGATGGGAGTTTAACAGAGCTAGATGGCATCGGGTTTGGGAAAGCTGTTTCGAAGAAGCAGCATAGAGCGTGTTTTTGTGGTGAGAGCTAGTGAGCAAAAGTAAACAGCCTGACGCCAAGACAAGAAACAGATGGAAATTGGGCCTAGAGAGGGCCATCCAGTCTGTTGTGTTGGTCTGGCAGGAGAAAGCAGTACCTGAGTTGGAACCTTGTTTTAAATACAAATAGGCTTCATATTTGATATACAGGAGTCACTGGAATTCTTTCATAACATCTTCATAGCTTTTCTACAATAAACCTACTTTTCTTTGCTCTTGGAAATCTCTGCTTAAAGTTTTTGGCCGGTTGAGGAAAGACTGATGTCTCCATTGCGAATGAATTCCCAGTGTGGATAGCATTAATAGTAAAGGCTACAAGGAACAAGGTTTTTTTCTATGAAAACCACTGTGCTTTTGCACCTGCTTCCTCTCTAGCTGGGTATATACATGTACGAAACCATGTTTCCGTTCTCATTCAGCAGAGAGGGGAAGCAATTAGGTTAACAAAGCTTTCTTATACCAGGTCACATCACTGGACTGTATCAGCCCATATTACTTACTCCAGCTTTCAACTTGAAGCCCTTCATCCTGATGAGCATTCATAACAAAGGGTCTAGTCCAATGTTTGTCAACCTTAGCAACTTTAAGATAGGTGGACTTCAACTCCCAGAATTCCCCAGCCAGCATGGGAATTCTGGGAGCTGAAGTCCACATATATCTTAAAGTCACCAAGGTTAAGAAACACTGGTCTAGTCTGATATATGTGCAGTGTACCTGTTGAGAAGGATGTTTCGAACAGATTTAGATACGGAACTTTCCTGGGGAAGATGGGAATTGAACTCAGGACCTTCTGTATTCAAAGCAGGCAATCAGCCCTTGAGCTGTAGGCTTGAGCCTCTCAGGAGGACTTCTTCCATGTTACAAATTCATAGAAGCAGAAAGAAAAAGACGAGGCATTGTCCAACTTCCCTTTGTTTGCAGATGGACGAGTGGCTAAGCATCATCTGCCTCTTCCTCTAGAGGGGTGACTAATAAGGGCATGTTGCAGATTCACAAGGGTGTCCTGGTGGAATAAATGTTCATGCTTTTGGTCTGAAAATCATGTCAAGTTCCTAGAACAACACAGGGAAGACACCTATGCAAAGTTATCCCACAGTTAATGATGCAACTTTACAGGATATTAATATGTAGCTTTTCAGTGAAAGACTGTAACTAGGCTGTATAACTTGGCTGCTTATCAATTGTAGTCAGTTGTCCAAACATTTTATCAAGGTTTTCTTATAGGTGTCTAAGTCCAAAATAGTCTTCCTCTTCTTTTTCCTTAGGACTGAACAGATTGGATAATTTAAAATTTTTAAAAATGCATGCATATCAGTCATCACAATAAGTGGGGCTACTGGATGATCTGTAACTTCAACTGGACTCTCACACAAAAGATTTATTTCACTCATTTTATTATTTTCCAACTTGGAGCAATCGTTTTTAAAAAGATGTTACTATGTAGAATTTAACACTCTTTCACAAAAACAGGTCCTGCAGAAGCTAGCATCTATAAAAACAATTTCTGATGTTTAGCTAGAATAGCATAATGATTAGCGAGCATTAATACAGCTCCTTAAAAAAAAATGCCTAACCCCTTCTTCTTCATCCAAACGTATTAATTACTCCCATAATGTCATTCTACGATGAGTCATTCTCTTTCAGTCCAACCTAACACGCTGCTGATGTGAGAAAAAACGGAGGAGGAGATGCAAAACCTGGAGCAAATTAGAGTCACTGGTCTGAGATGGGCGGCTATATAAATGGAATAAATAAATAAATAAATAAGTAAATTTGAGAGTTAGAGAAGTTAGATCTGCTTACCAGTAGCAGCTGCTTATAAGGTTCATACGGCAATATCTGTTTTAATGCAGACAGAAAACTATATAATGTAAGCCGTGATTTTGTTTCCTTTTATCTCCTTCGCTTTGCAGCTTCTCCTGCGGAGCAAACCAGCTTCTGTACCCATCAGCAAGATACATTTAGATACGGATTTTCTTTGCAAATTCATTTTCCCCCTCACTTTATTTATGTAGTTTCTCTGCATGAGCAGAGGGGCTGTCATCTTCCAAGGTATCTTTCACGTGTCGCTACAATTTATAACTGTGTGTTTGTTCTTCAGAAGTTTATCGTCCTTGTGACTGGTATCTAATCCAATATCTGAGTAATAACAGCAGCCCAGGAGATGGCAGTTACATGTCTGGCTCCTATTACAATCTGTGCAGACAATGCTACCCACTTCAAGGTACGCTGGGTTTACAGCAGTTGTTGCACGAGTCACAGCTCTCCTCTGCCCCCCTCCACCCGAGGTATAAGGATTTCAAATTATTGATTCAAAGCATTTCTATCCTACTCTTCAGCCAGTTTGCCCCAGAGCGCATCAAAAGAAGAACTGATGTTGCCATCAATTCACAATTCAATAACTTTTCAATATAGCTTAGCTAGATAATGTCTGTGAATATACAACCTGGTTTTTTTTCTTTTTTAGCTTTCTTTTTTCCTTCTTTTATAATGTTGTCTGTTTTTTCTTTATTTTTCCATAGTTAGTTACTAAAAGAATGGGGTGGGGGTGGGGAAGAAGACCATCCCTGCCTTTATACATACAGTCTAAAACAAACAACAACACAGAAGGAAAAAGAGATGGGGAGGGAAAAGGAAAATGACAAAAATCAGGTGCCAGTTCTTACAGTTTGATACAGTTTGCACAGCAGTAGTGCAAAGTGAGTGGTGTAAATATAAAGGGAACTGGAGGTTGTTTACAGCACCAGCTGGACTTCTATAGTTCAAAGACCGGAGAGGACAAAGATTACTGGCCTCTCAGCTGAGCTTATAGAATAATCCAATTTCTTTTCTCTCTCTGCTGTAGCTGAATGGAACATCTAGTAGATGACGGAAAGGCAAAACCCAACGAAGCCGATTCTCCGCAGGGCTGATGGAGACTCTGCTATTCTTTTTTACCTTCTGGAATGGCTGCTAAAAGACATAATTCTGTTGAAAAAAATGATAGTAGCAATCCATTTGTCAAAGGCTGCCTTTCCCAACACAAAACTGTCCAGAAGTTTTGGTATGCCAACTCTTGGAATTCCCCAACAACATAGTCCATGCTGGCTAGAAATGCTGGCCATTGGAGTCCCAATGCCTCTGGAGTACTCCCGAATGGAGAAGGTGGCTGAAAAATAAGAAGATGAGTTAATTGAAAGGTAATTGATTCCCAGAAATTGGTGGCAGTACAGGGCCAGCTCCACCAGAGGGTTTTGGGTATCATCAAAAGAAGCAAACTATTACTGATTCATTTTGTTATCACCGTAATTTTCCTGCCAAGAATGGAAGGATGGTGGAATACATTTTCTGGTTTATGTGCTAGAATAAAATGTTGGATTTCACCCTCTTTTTTTTTTTTTTTACTATGCCCCTTTTTTTTGTGGGGGAGAGGTTTCTTTCCTTTTTTTTTTTTTCCCCTTTTTTTTGTGGGGGAG